GTCGACGTCGTTGTCATTACCACCGCTGCTACCACTGTGGTCATCCTCGTCGTTGTTGTTGCCGTTATCGTTGTTATTATTACTAGTACCATTTCCATTGATAATATTAGCGTCGTTCCCACTGTCGTCGGTACAGCCAGAGGCCCGCGTGGCCTACTAAAATGACCGCTCGTCTTCACTCGTTGAGGCACCAAGAGAAGAAATTGGCTGGCAACGCTCACAGACAGCATCACCATCAGCAATCTCAAAATCAGCAAAGCGCGCATCAGGGTGCCAGTCCGGCTGCCAGCCCTAGCCCTAGTCTCAGCCCGAGCCCTAAACACTCGGACGGTCGTCGAGTGAGTACAACTTTATTCCCGCATAACTTCTCTTATCCTCCCCCTTTCTCGTCTCATCGAACGACTCGCCTATTCGGTTTGATGTATCGCGGCAACCTGATCGAGCAGCTGGATCGTCGTAGATCGATTCGATCCAAACGCTCTTCTAGGCAAGACTGCATTCCTTTGAATAAACGTGGACGAACAAAAACTTAATACTATTTCATTTTTTATGAATTCAAAAAGTTTCGTACTCGAACGCAATTGAGTCGCGCTCCACCGTAAACGAGTCTTTGTAATTCTTAAATAATAATCTGTAAAATATTCGTTTGGACCAAAGATGAAACGGATAAGGAAATGTTTTTGTCGGAATCGATTGTATAGATCTTTCGGAGCTAAACGAGGAGAAGATCTTTTCAACGGGTTGGAGAGTTTTATCGAAGTAGAAAACGATAGGATCGAGATCGATGTGACCGCGTTCGAATTAGAATTGACGCGGACGGGTGAAACGTTTGATCCGTGTTCGAAATCGTTTGGAACGTTCCGATGGCTCGCGCGCGTTTCTATTCCGTTGAATAGATTTGCGACGCGACGATGCCGTAGCGTGTACATATATATAGGACGTATTTCAGGCTAATAAACCACTAATGGAAAAGCGACGGCGAGCGAGGATCAATCAGTCGTTGGCGGCGCTAAAGGCGCTTATACTTGACAGCGCCCGACTAGAGAACACGAAGCATAGCAAACTCGAGAAAGCTGACATTTTGGAGTTAACGGTTCGGCATTTGCAAAGGCAGCGATCTCTTGCTCAGCCAGGTTTATCGAGATACAAGGCCGGCTATCAAGATTGCTCTAGGGAGGTAAGGGATCAATCGTTAGGGAATCGTCGGAATTATCGGCGAAAAGATATAAAAGACTTATCGTTTCCGGACCGATCGACGTTTTTGCTACAGGTGAGCCGGTACCTCGATGCCCCGGACATAATCACGGGGAACACGACACCCATGGACCCGGCGGTGAAACAGAGGTTACTGAGACATTTGGACAGTTGCGTGTCAGAATTGGACTTGGACCTAGGTTCGAGGCCGGATAGCGGATTAGGCAGCAGTCCCGGAAGCGTGACGGATCGAGTGACGGGTGCGGGCAGCCCCGGCCCGTTAGACCATCACGTACCATCGGTCGCGCGTCGTAGTACCTCGCTAAATCCGGCTGGCTCGATAAAAGCCGAAATTCCGGATATCGAACCAGCCAGACCGGATAGCAGTACTACCGCCGGCGATGAAAACAACAATAATAGCAGCGGCGGTAGCAATAGCAATAATGGGCCAAGTACCGCGTTTGGTCAGGTTAACGGCAACCTTGACTCCCATCTCCATCCTCCCTCCGTTCCCGCTCCGTCCGGCATACCGGTCATCGATCAGGCTTCCAGTTCTCAGCAGAATCCGAACATGCTGTCGGTGGTGCAGGTGATACCCTCCAGGTTACCCGACGGTCAAGTGGTTTTCCTGCTTCCCAGTCATTACGTTCAATTGGCGGCCGCCNNNNCGGCCGCCGCCGCCGCGAACGGCATCAACATCGGCCCGAATCCACCGACGGCCGTGTGGGCCGCGACCAACATGTCCTTTCTGAAGGCGACGGACAAGTTGGCGAAACGGCACCACGAGGACGCGCAAGAATGGCAGGACGCGGTTTCCGTGGCCGCGAACGGCCACCGCCGCCATTGCCGTTACCGCTACAGCTACTGCTACCGCTGCCGCTACCACGTCCGTCAACGCTTCCGTTTCCGCTTCCATTTCCGCATCCGCCCCCGTTTCCACCTTCGTCGCCGCCAATGTTCTGTCCGGCTCGAGATCCAATAAGAGTCCGAAGCTCGAGCAAACGGAGCAACCTCTCGATTTCACCACTACCTCCAAGAAGCTGAAAAGCGGTACGAAGAGCACGGTGCCTGTTCTTCAGCACCACCACCTCCATCATCACCAGCCCCAGCAGCAGTTTACCGCCAGCAATTTATCGATGGAAGGATCGATCGCGCACGAAGAGAGATCCTTTCATCGAGCGAACAGCGAATTCGTAACAGGAATTCACTCGCCGTCTCCCCTTCCTCAGCAGCCGATGAAGGACGAAGAAGGAATGTGGAGGCCTTGGTAAACTGCTCCCCGCCGACGATCGCTACACGGAAGTATTCGTACGCGTCAGTGCTGGTGAACTGGTGCACTCGTGTCATATGTGTCGATCAGTTTCGCGTGATTCTTCGCGCGAAAGAAAGGGATTGTGTCGAGCACGATGACGCGCCGACGGATTATCGACGTTCACGAGCCGAGACCGAACGATTCGTGCTTCGAAATAATTACCGATCGGTTCCTTCGAGCGCGGAACAGTGCGCGGAGACGAGAACAACCGAATAATATAAATTATCCGAAATGTTAGAAATTGAACAAACGTTATTCGTTTAAAATGTTAAAAAGTAACGATGTAAGTACGTACATGTATATGATAAAGATTTAGCACGCGTAGAATGCGAGCAACGAGAAAGTTTCGCGCATAGTACTTTTATTCCGCCAACGTGTACATAGTCCCGATTGGAAACAATGCCGGAAATAGATTTATTTTGATGTTAACTAGGTGTATATAGGTACGAGATAACGTAGAAAGGCAGAAAGAGGGAAGGCGAGGTTGTCGCGTCTGTAGAGAATATTTTTTCCTTTCCGCGAAGATAAGCGTTCGATCAACCGTCATTTCGATGTAATTTATTTCTGTAATTACGATGTCGAGACGCGAATTCATTACTCGGTGTACTTATCGTTAGGTATCGGTCAATATAAACGCGCCCACGTGAGAAAACGACGAATTTATCCTTACTTTCGATCTCGATTTTTATTCCGTCGGAGATATCCGCCATGCCGAAATTCTTTCTTACTTTATCCAGATCTTTTACTTCGGTTAACGCGTACCATCCTCTTCGGATTCGACGAAACAGCGGAACTTTCGATTAATCGCCCTGTTAGCCGCTAACGCGCACTCCATCGTCGTAGAAAATAAAGTTTCGTCGATTATGCCTCTTCGCCTATAACCGACAACTTGACAGTGTCAGCTGGAGATTTCTTGGTGCCGCATTAAATTTCGATTTAATTATTACCCAATAAAAGTATTACCTTTCATTTCGCACACGAGACAAACAATTTTCATTCTCCACGAATCACTGGTAGATTCACTTGAGGAAGTAGTATTATTCCTTCTTTTCGTGCTCTCGTGCTTACGAGTTTTTCCCATTTGATACCAGATTTCAAAGAAGAAATTGATCATAATACTACTACCTCGTTTACCCAAAAATTTCTTCTGACAAAGTAAGATCGATATTGCACGAAGGAAGCAAAAATAATCGAATCGTGCATAATTAACGCAAAAGTACATGAAGTACAATGGTTATGGGTAAATTTCAGGACGGATCTGAAGTTTCGTGAAAAGGGCGTAGTCGCGATGACGTATCGTTATTTTGACTCCGTCCGAGAAAGAAATCGCTAAACGGTATAACTGGAACGGATAGAAAGATTACTTTTACTCGTCGGCAAAGTTGAACCTCTTCGACTCTCGCGGCCGTTTTACGGTAGTTTAACCACCTGTTACGTCGAGATCTGCACCAAACTTGTGCGCTTTTCTTTTTCGCGTAACACGCGAGCGTTTCTCGCGCACTCCCCGATGCACCGCTACACTCCTGACCGATGCCATCGTAAAATTGTTCGCGTCCTCTCGCTTCTTCGCCCTTCGTCATTACGCTCCATCCACCTATTTATCCTCTTCCATAATTTTATTTTTATATGTAATTCGATATATCTGATATTCTGTCAACGAACGAAAGAAGCCGCAGAAGAAGGAAATGATCGCTAATCACGGTAAGTGATACTAAAATTCGTCGATGAATTATAAAGGAGAACCAAAAAGAGACGCTGTTGCAGAGCGGATTATTTACGTCTCTGAAACTTCGTATCTGATATCTATTTAAGAACATCGACGATTGCCTCCGTGCAATATTTAACAGGGCCCATTTTTCGACGATCCTGCAAGTTTCATACAATCGGAGGAGAAAATAACTCCGGCACCGTGTACATTTTGCATTCAATAAAAATTAAACGTGTAATTTATGTGGAGACATTTTCTACACCTTTTCTTATTTAATTTTCTGCAATTTTTAATATGCCTGTTTTATTTCGATGTAGAAAACTATGGGTAAGTATAGCACTGCTGAAATATTATTTTAGTCAATTTCGGTAAACCATTGTTCGCTTAGAACATTTAACTGTGCATCAACCTAAGAATCGAAAAGAAAGCTGGAAGCATACAAGCTTCTTTATTTCGATCTTATATGTTTTTCAAAATTCGCGACCTTTTCGAAATGGTACTACTAACGCCATTTGGCGGTGAGTCTTGATACTATGAAATTCGAAATTTGGTTCCGTTAGTTCCCACTTTCCACCGCTAGATGGCTAGACTTTTTTGTGCCCATAAAACGCACTTTTTTTTATTTTCGAAAATAAAGCTTCAAACATAACGTAAAGACATTTTTCTTATTTTATTGAAACCGTAGAACACTCTGCGAGCATTTACGATACGTAACAATGTCTTGTTCAAAGGAAAATCGCAATTTGTTGTGTCGTTACTTTAATGACTGACCGCTAGATGACGAATGTAGTATTTTCCCAGAGAAAGCGCGCATAAATATGATTTTGCGTACAGAATTACAATGATGTGCAAAATCCGTCTGGCAACCTCCGCATATCGGCTAATGCCAATGCCGATGGTATTTATGTATTTCTTTTGAACAGTGTATATCTATTTTAAAAATAAATGAATCGAATCTAGCAGTGAAATTGATCGATAAATTTGGAGTAATTGAGAACCACTGCTTAAAAGAGCAACATGGCGATTTCCTTACTTATTGAAGTTGAAGTAGGTGTAGTCGCTAATGAAAATAGGAATAGTCACTAATTTATTGTTAAGATCAAAACAGATTTAATAGTAAGTGTATGTCTAATGTGTGTTGTATGTTTTAAAAGATTGAAGTGAAAGTGTCCATTTGTCGCGATAGATTTGACATTTCAGGTTGAACAAAATATTTCTATTCTTTTATAATAATACGTCTAGGAAACTGCAACACACTAAACAGATCAAATTGCATTTTATACAGAATGTCAAACTTGTAGCCTAATAAAAGAAAATAGATTTTTTTGTTTTGTAGCCAAAACATGGTAAAATTATATGCATTATCAATTTTATATAAAAACCCTACATCGGCAACAACATTGAAAGCTGCCTATGATGTAGAATCATTTTCCTTTTTTCAAAGAGGAAGCGTTAAAGAGTTTATGAGCTTTGTAAGTAAAACTATCGTAGAAAGGACTCAAAGCTGCTCTAGACAAAGCGTCAAAGAAGGAGGTAATGTTGGAAGATTACGAAACTAATAGCTTTGTTATGGGAAATAATGGAATTATTAATGGAGAAAATATTTATGTTCGAATTCTTAACAGATTACATGTGTCATGTATATGTTAGAGCTGATAATCTAGCCGCGGTTCTTATATCGGATCATGAATATCCAAGAAGAGTAGCGCATACGTTAATTACAAAAGTTATGGATGAGTTTTCTTTAAAATATCCGCAATCAATGTGGGATACTTTAAGCGAAGCTACCATTGATTTTGCACAGCTTAACATATATTTAGCGAAATACCAAAATCCGAATGAAGCTGATGCCCTTACCAAAATGCAAAATGATTTAGATGAGACCAAGATTATTTTAGTAAGTATATATGTATAAAGAGGAATAAACAAATTAAGTTCACGTTATACATTAATTTTATATATCTTATAGCACAATACGTTAGAGGCTGTTCTTCAAAGAGGAGAAAAATTGGATGATCTAGTTTCAAAATCTGAAGGGCTTAGTGCTCAATCCAAAGCATTTTATAAAACTGCACGAAAAACCAATTCTTGTTGCAGTTTAGCTCCTTAAAATCTTATATTGATAAATATTGTTGATTAATTCCAAATATAACTGTCATTTTCAGAGTGGCAAATGAAAAAAGTTAGTATTAAATATGTTTGATTTGATTACAGAAACAATTTACAAATACTACTATTGGTATAGCGAGTTAAGTTTAATATCGCATGTACAGATTTTTTTGTATATAAAACATATTTATGCACTTAAATGGTACATCAAGCTACTGCTACAGTTGTCCGATTATTTTCGATGTATTTTATTGACGTATAGAAGGTCGTGTTAAAATGTGTTCAGTAATTGTTGTGACTGAAAAATATTTTATTCTGGAAAACTCTTTATTTCTTTTTTGTTCGTGCAATAATGAAATATATAAAAATGAAGTACAAATAAATTAACTGTAAACATTTTGCTGGCAGAAATAAGTGCATGATATATATGTATTTTTAAACTTATTTTTAGTATCAAAACAAAGCATTTAAAAGTATATATGGGTATATATTTTTTAACGGTTATTTTAATGTTTTTTTATAGCATAGGATTATAGACATGAACAATATGTTTGGTAAATAGCAATTTTCATTAACATTTTTCATTATGTTGTAATCTTTTGTCATTAAGGATATGCTAAAATATTTAAAATTTTTAAAGATGGTTAAAAGTAACTAGGGTCTACTATTTTTACAGAAATATTATTGATAAAGATAAAAAAAATAAAACAGTATAGGTATGATTTTATAACCGAGCACAGAAGTAAAATCTGTAAAAGCTCAACGTAATATATTTATAAACTACTGTTGTTAATGTTCATGTGAGCCAAAGTATTTGTATAAACTTTGCAAATTTTGCTAACGACTAAACTATAAGAATGGTAATTTTTCTTGTTTTCAATAATCGACGTTTTAGTTTTGAAAAAATATGTGTCTAAAAATATAATACCGAATGAGATCAAGTATATTTAAACTGTTTGTGATCTTCATGTATATGTATGGATGTACTTTTTTTGAAACATATTTATATTTTTAACATGTACTGACACAGACATGGAATAATAATAACATTTTCGAATATTATATCTGATTAACAAATTTATTGTATACGTTTGAAAATATATTACAACCGAAGTAATTAAATTAAATATAAAGAATATTACAATTTACAGAACAAGATGGTTGAACAAAAATAAATCGAATTACAATTGCGTTTGTCATTTTTTTATAGTATAATGCTGTTGGTGATTTCTTTGCTCATTACAATACAACTTCATTTTCTGACTGCTAGATTTACGTTAAGTTTACAATTTTGTCACATCTCGATTTACAAAATCACGAGGAGTTCGACGAAATGGATGGAGGCTAATATTATCACTTTTAAACAATACTTTGTCACCATACAATGGGTTGAAATCGTACAAAAATTTTTCAGTAGGTTCCTACAAAATATGTACAATTTTGAATTATTAAAATAGTAATGTAGTAATTTGTTTTCCTAGTATATGTTGCATGGTATACTTACACTTGACATGACGTTGTCCATTTCGTCATTCTCTTCAGCTGTCCAATATAGCTCACGAGGGGGAACAGACTTAGTGTGATATATTTCATTTATTATTGGCAGTTTGTCCTGATAAAGCTCTATTGCACTATATATTTCCGTCACAGAACCAAATATCCAATCGGTTAATTTTGGTTTTTTAAAAGTATCTAAGTCTACACCTTCAATATCATGAACAACATCCATAAGATTACCCTCGGTGGACCAATCATAAATTAGTAACTGTGAATGATCTTTCAAGCTCTTTAAGTATTTTTCTTTGTATGCACTTTCTATATCTGACAGATACTTGGTTGTTAAAATTTTTGAATTTACTTCATGAGGATGACCTCTTTTCTTAATTTTCTCCTGTGAAAATTAATAAAAAAACTTACATTATTTTATCTGAATGTGGATTACCGTAAATTGATAATGTAATCCAATTAAAAGAGATAAATAAGATTTACCTTGACAAGCTCTGGAGGTACATCCAAATATATTATCAAATGTGGCCTAAAAAGTTCTCTGACTGCTTCCTCCCTCATATACATATACTCCCTCATTACATCTTTACTCAGATAACCAGCTTTGTGCATAGCATCCGCAAATGCAATATCTGAGTAAACGCATCTATTAAGCACTATACCCTGACCAGTCGATAATAAATGAAGTAGTGCATTTGTATATTGTTCGAATCTCATTAGAAGATACATTATTTGAAAGAATGGTACTCTAACATCATTCGGATTTGCTAAAAATCTTTCTATATCATAACTTTGACAATGAAGTGGTAGCTTTGAATCCAACTTTCGCAAGTCAACCTTATAAGGATTTATATAAATTTCTTCATGTGATGGCGGTGGCATGTACAATAGTCCAAATTGTTCTGCTATATGTTCACAGAGTTTGCTCTTTCCCACTGCAGGAGGCCCATCAACAACTATTACTCTAGTATTTTCATCGTATCTCATTACTATAGAAGTTTTCATGGCTTGATATATAGTCAATTGTTTGTCCCAATAAGGAAATGGAGCAGGTTTTTGAACAACATCACGTAATGATAGCCTTTTCATAAAGGCTACTTGTATTACATTATGATTCTGCGATATCTGTAAGACAATAAAATAAAGAAGACTTCTTTGAACTTTATCAAAGGTAAAGATAGTATTAGCAACTATGTTAATAAGAATTTTTCAGAATTAATAAAGGTTTTAAACCTTACATTGCAGTAATACTTCAAATTATTGTTTTCATATAACAATAATTTTAAAAAGAAGCATAGTGTGATATAATATTATGAAGAGTACTAACCTTACATAATCGAGTTAAAACCCCAACGGATGTGATTTTGGAAACACCCGTAGAAAAAACCGATGCCATAGTACTAGAATAAATATTATTCCGATAAAGATACTTAAATAAGATTAATGAAACATCATTTGATAAATATTTTTCACATCGTTAATGTCTTACCCACTATACTTGTCTCAAGATGCTTCCCCAATTTCAGTGGTACTCATTCGATAGACATACTGTCACTGTCATCATAAAGCAAAAGTTAAAATTTGAAAGGCAACTATCATAGATTAACAAGAATATTTAATGATTTACATAACTTTTTGTATTATATTCGTTGTAATTCATTAAAACAATACAAATTATTTTATATATGAAAATTAAAGTATTTTCTTCAAATTGAAAATGAAATGTGAGAGGTAAAAACGATGTTATCTTAAACATGTCCCATTACATTATCAATAAATAATGTCAGCAGAAGATGTGAACCGTTTGAAAATTAAGCAATTTACTATATATTGTATTATACTTCATTCTATAGAAGAATACATTTCAAGGAACGAACGAGCTTACGTTCATTTTGCGCACTTTAGTTTTGATTAGTTCTTTTAGATTTCGTAACGAAGAACAACACGCAAGCGCGTTTATGACACTCCGAATGCTGAACATGCATACCTAGTGAATACAAAATTTGTATATTTAATAATCTTTCAACAAGTTCTATATTGTCTAGAGTTTCTGTTCAAGCTTATTATTTCCAGTTTCACTGTAACTTCTAAGTTATAATCGAGTACATTGACAGGCATGAAAGAATTTACGTTCATTTGATCGTTATCATGTGTTCCTTTTCATATATTTTCATACACTCTGTATACATCATCAACAGAGCAAAAAGTGTTGGTAGAGAAATGGTATAAAATGACGGGGAGCCATCTGAACTTGGCCGAGATGCGCAAAACAAGTATATTCTCTCATGAAACGGAGTATACGAACCTCCCACAATTAATCGAACCGGTAACAAACGCGAGGCATATTCTCCCCTTCAAGTAATAAGTATAAATGACAGAAAATACGTGTTGTGGAAGTCGAGTGTATTAAACTGCAGAAAATGTGAAGTCAAAGAAGGAGGGTTTAGATTTGTTCGGCGGAGGGGAGAGTCTAAATAACGAGGAAAAAAGGCAGAGAAATCTCGTGATTCTGGATTGCTTGATCAGTTGAACAAAGTGGTAGACGCTCGGGTCTCATGAGAAAGAGACGAGCTCTGAATGCGTGCTGCGTCATCGTAGAATGGGTGAGTGCTACGGCACAAGAGCTCAAAAAACATTTTTAAATCATAATCTATTTGAAGCGCGCGGGGCGTGTCTTCGGCGGAAATGCAATGATTTACGCGCGATTCTGTTTTACTATTTCTTACTTTTTATTTTATACATTTCTTTGTCTCAATTCGATGATGTTCATATTGACATATTAGCAATGAAGCACGATTCAAATTGTTTCTTGATCGATACGTAACTTTTCGTTAACTTGATCGCATGCATTCAGTAAAACTATGTCTTCGTGCATACAGTACACTCAAGTGCAAAGTTGGCTTCCTTTGGTTAATGACTTGTGGATGAAAAGAAGTCTCTCGTTACGTGTCTTCGACTTTGGCAGATCATATTTTCCAAATTTGAAAATGTGTTAATCGAAAACTAAGGAGTGGTGGTGTTTTTGTTTTCTACATTATTATTTTCTCTAGAGAAAACAGCCATGCTCGCTGGTGTACACCGGGACTGTTGTCGCGTGTCAGGAATTTCGTATCCCCACTCCATTCAGCCTGTATTATTTTCTATTTTTCCGTTGTGCGTTTCGGCTTCTGCTTTCTTTCAACGATAGAAGCTTCGAGTTGGATTCTGTTCTTTGTACGATCAGACTAATGTTTGCTCTGATGCTGATGCACTTTGCTCGGCGACAGATAATGTGTTCAAATGGCGATCGTATTCGGTGAAATATTCTTGTGTTTGAAATAGCGTTCGCCGACCGTGAAAAATTGGATTATTTCCTTCTCCGATGTTCTGAGAAGTTTTTCGTCGGAAAATTTCATGAAGTAAGCAAAATATTTTTGCCGCAATTCATGAATGAATAACTAGAAAAACATTTGTGTCAATGTTAATTGAATTATTAATGCTGGAAACGTTATCTTGTTTTCTGTAAGCAATTGGCATTGTTGGAAACATTCACAATATTATGTAACAGAAGAAAATTGCATTGCTCGATATTTATTATTCTGCGTATACATAATTATGTTTTTGTTTATTTGTTTAAAGACACACAAGGAGGAATGTCCCGAAACACTGGGCCTGGTTTGTATGAGTTCCTTATGGAAGCAGAGCTTCAACAATATTATCCTGGAATTCGAGGTATGAATTTTCATGAAATTAATAATGACAAGAAATTTAACTTGTTATTTATATTAACAGGGGACTTGAAAGTACAGACCACTGCACAATTGAAATATGTAACAGAAGAAGATTTGAACGCGATTGGAATGAGCAAACCAGAGATGCGTCGTTTGAAGAAGTATTTTCAGAAGCATTTTCCACAAAATTATCTTTCCAAGTTTAAAAAGATGCTGTTACCAAAACGGGATGAACCAACAATGGGTGGTTTGACCATGTTACCGGAAGAGAGACAAGATAGACCCCCTATTCGTGTTCCTAATAAACATATGATACCAGCTGATGCTATTATCGTAAATAAAGAACTAGGAACAGGAGAATTTGGAGTTGTACAGCAAGGTGTTTGGACAAATGATGGGGAGAGGATACAAGTAGCCATTAAGTGTTTGTCACGAGAAAGAATGCAGAATAATCCTATTGAATTTTTGAAAGAAGCAGCTATAATGCATGCCATAGATCATGAACACATTGTAAGACTGTACGGTGTAGTTTTGGATACAAATTCTTTAATGCTTGTCACGGAATTAGCACCTTTGAGATCTTTACTAGAATGCCTGAAAGAACCTAGCTTACGTGCTAGTTTTCCAGTTCTTTCTTTGTGCGATTTTGCCGTGCAAATTGCAGATGGTATGCAATATTTAGAAGCAAAGAGGCTGATACATCGTGATCTTGCTGCCAGAAATATTTTGGTGTTTTCCAAAAATAAAGTGAAGATATCTGATTTCGGATTATCTCGTGCTCTAGGAGTTGGGAAAGACTATTATCAAACAAATTTTAATGTAAATTTAAAATTACCAATAGCTTGGTGTGCTCCAGAAAGCATATCTTACTTAAAATTTACTTCTGCAAGTGATGTATGGGCTTACGGGGTAACCTTGTGGGAAATGTTTAGTTATGGCTTTCAACCATGGGCAGCATTAACTGGTCATCAAATTTTGGAAGCAATAGATGAACCAAATTTTCAAAGATTAGAGCAACCAGAGTGTTGTCCAAAAGATTATTTTGCACTTATGCAGCAATGTTGGCAGCATGAACCATCCAAGAGACCCAAATTTTCGGAATTAATTAATCTTTTGCCTGATTTAAAACCAGAACAAGTTCAGGCTGTTCAGGATAGTTCAGAAACAGGTCAGCTTGTTTACAGACAAGGCGACGTTATTACTGTTTTAGATAAAGGTAGCAGTAACACATTATGGAAAGGTGTTTTAAATAATGGAAAAACTGGTTTCTTTAATCCTGCTCATACAATAGCGTATCTTGGATCTAATTTACCAAGTAATAAGCCTGGAGAATTTACGCGCGGGGATGGCAAAAATGCCTTTTCTTCCCAAAGACGAAAAATTCGTACGGACATGATTTCTTCTCCGCAAGGTGACTTGAAACACACTGGTCACGTTGGATTAGATGGAGCTTATTTTGGTGATATTGGTTTCCTTGGTGGGAAATATCCGCATTTACCACGACAGGTAGTTACTCCGTACAAACCACAGGAAGATGTAACAGAAAATTCTAGTCAAGCTATAAACCAAGATGCAAGAAACACAGAAATGAACAGGGAATTATTGAGGGACAATAGGAACATGCAGCAAGATATTCAAAATAAGCATGGTATGTGTTATTTAAATCGAATAAGGATAGTATAATGTTTGACAGTAACAGTGAATTTTTTTTTATTAGAAAATATATGGTCGGATGCAAGTTCTGAAGTATGTCACGTGGGTAACTCGAGTAAACAATCTGTTCCATTAAACGTAGCTGGCAATAATGATTCTCTTGGAGCAGATCATGAGTATCATGAGATCAGTGACGAAGAAAATCAAGATAGTCCATTAAGATTTGACAAAACATTAAATTTTGATTTTGGTCCAAGTTTGTTGGCTGAAATGGACCAAATGTTCAGATCATTAGGTAATTTAGCTATATTAATTTAACGTCTAATTCATTTTCGTAATATACATTTATATCTGTTCGCTAGGTTCTTCTCCTCCTCCACCGCCTCCTGCTCATCCTTTATCCGCTGAGCACGAATCAAGTAACGTTAGAAACGAACTAAGGGAGATACAGGCAAAACAGAGCAATAAGAAAAAACAAGCCACCGTGAGTCCAATAAATGTACAGTAATTTTTTTGTATAATTTATCATTATGCTTTTATGTGCTATCAGTTATCGTTTATTTCTTTCGTTCGTTATTTGTTGCTGAGTATTGTTAGTTTTATTCTAAATATTATGTGTATTATTTGCATGTCAGAGTATAGAATCCAAAAATTCTTAGAGCTAAAGAACAGAATTGACCAGTTCTATCATCAGTAAAATGTGCAGTGTTCAATCCGCGACAAAGCAGACATTCTTATATATTATATACAATTTACCAGAAATGGTAAACGTTTCTCTTATATTTAGGTGAAGCCTATCTCAGCCGCCGATCAGAAAACTCTCTACTCAGCCATTGCTATGGCACAGGAATTGACAGCACGTTCCATGACAGATCTTGAACATCCACCGGAGTCTCCCCGAACACCTGCCAGTCCTTCAAGACGCAGAAAGTTCTCTTTTAAGTTGCCACATCAACACAGTCCCAAACCAGACAGACGACACTTTTCAGAAGAAGCTGCCAGTATACCTGACATACAGGTACATTAAACAGTTTTTTGTTTCGTCACTAAACTTTGAAGAGAGTACACATATAACATGATACACGACCTAACTTTGCACCCAAATACTAACTTGGTTTATTTATTTTGTTTCAAAACTAATAACACTAAAAATGCGAATAATTTTTCCAAAAATATGATTATATATCCTTATACAAAAAGAAGCGAAAGGCCTTAAAGTATAAGTTTCTCTTTGAACAAGAATGGTTCTGAAACAACAGATACATCTTTTATCTCTATACAACATTAAAATTCATTTAATGGAAACTGTTATGGAACAGAGTTAATTCCTGATGCCACATGAAAGAGTAGGTATACCGCATCTGTTCTTGATATTCCGACCTAAGTTACTTGTTTGTACCTTAAGTTGATACGATGCTTGTTAATTTATGACAAAGACTAATCTTGACTTTCCTCTAATCCTTTCCTGTCTGTTTATTTTTTGTTATATTTCTTAATTTTTCAATTTTCGTTATTCATTTTCATGTTTTGTTTACCGTTGCATCGCCATATATTAAACCATTCTTTGATTTTTTATGTACTGTACGTGATCGTATGGAAACCATCATCAAACTTCTTACGTGTTATAATGTGCTTTGCTCATTCCTGCATGATTGTCTCTGACTTTGGCTTGTTATTTATTATTTTATCCATTAAAATACCACCACTGTTCATCAACAAAGTGGTTATGTTCGAGCTTGCAATCATTGTCATCCACCGTCTCTAGTATAGAATCACTCGGTGCACCGTCCACCTTAAAGTTACCACTATGGGACAAAGCATCGGCTGAATTTTGTTTCGCAAAGTCACGCGAGCTTCTGACGAAACCTACTGCATGGACCTCGTATATGGACATAGAGTTTGATGCTCATATCTTGGACAACGCAGCCATGAAACAAAATCTCGTCAAGTCCACCGAGTTTTTGGAGAACGGTAACAAAAAAAGTAACTACAATTGTGAGAACGTAACAGACACGAACGAGAAGTTGAACGTTCTTCAGCAAAATGGTAAAATACCTCCTCTGAGCATAGAGAATTCTAATTTCGACTTTCCTCGAGAACAGAAGAGGGTATCTACCAGTTACGTGGATCGTTACTTCGAACAATCAAAGTACTTCGAGGACGATGGCGCACTGAGTTGTACTACGGAGAAGACACCTTATTTTGGGGAGGAGAAGATGGATAAATATGATAAGATCAATAATCTGGAGCAACCTAACAGATCATGCTACTCGAACATTCAAGAACAGGCTCCTGTGATCGCGAACAAACACAATCAACAGATGCCAAATAAGTTTGGTAACTGTGACCAGCAACTGAAGGAGAACGTAGGAAATTTCGACGCACAGTGCGAGGAGACAGCGAGCTTTGATTTGATAAAAGAGAAGCCCGTGAATTTTGCCGACTTCCCACGTAGCAAGCCGGTTAAGTTTGATTCATCCAGAGACAAGATAGATCTGGGTACGAGACCCAAAATCTCCAGTTCTTTCAGTGATTCTTCCAAGATGAACATTCCAGAATTCCCCAAAAAAATCGACGTTTCAAAGACTAGGGGTGGGAAAATAGCTTTTGTTCCCAGGAACGCCAATCAAGATGCTAAAAGTGCCATTTACGGATCAACGGATAGCATAAAGACCAATTTGAAAGCTGGAGGAGAGGCGGACAACCCGAGAGGAAACATGGAAGCTGTGAGGATCAATATACAGAGCTTCCGTAAGATAGAACAGAATCAGAATGGTCACGACGGTTTCCCTTTCGTAATATCTAACAATCCTTTATTCATAGCTGAATCTGAGAAAAAGGAGTCCCCTGTGTATAGTAGTTCAGAGAGTCTGCGAGTGAATTTCCAACGACTCAGGAGGAAGTCGGATGCAGAAGCGAACAATCAGGTTGAATTAAGCAGCAAACTGTTGGCAGAAAAGTATCAACGCGAAGTATCTGGTTTGGAGAGCGTAAAAAATTATTTGGATTCGAAAAAAGGCCAAGGATTGAATCTGGGTCTGGGTAAGCTAACGCAAAACATGATCCAACTTGGCAAAAACATTGCACAGAATTCCAGAAATATAGATACCACCGCGTCCAAGTCATTGGTGACAAACATGAGGAACTTGGATATGTCTGGGCAAACCCAGTCGTCGCTTAGGAGCTTGAATATTCCTACTCAGAAGCCTAAGCATTTGGACTTGAACATTCCGCTTCAATGTCAGTCGCAGATCAGCATGAAGCTGAATTTAATGCAAAAGGCGAATCCACCGTCTAGTCCCACCATACATCAGCATATCTTGGAACCACCTAAATTGTATCAGAACGACAATACAAGGCAAGAGGTATCGAAGACCGATGTTATGTTGGAGAAAATGTCGACGACCACAAATATATACAGACACAGAACCTCGTCTCTGTCGGAGAACAGGAAACCACAGATGAAAAATATTAGAAGATCTTTTCATCCTACGAACGACTCCAGCGAGGATTCAGATTCTATATCCCACTCAGAGACTGATATAAGGAGTCGTTTACGATACAAACGACGTCACAAGAAGGTCCCACACAATCTGCGCTTGAACTTCAAGAACAAGGGTCACTTCTTGCATCCAGAGACAGCGAGGGGATTTTCGTCTATAGAACTTTGCGGGAAATCACCGCCACCGTCGACCAGCTTTTTAAATTCTTTATCGCCACCTTTCTCTTCTAGAAACAATTTGCTTTCTTGGCCAGAAAGTGCCCCCAGTTCTAGTCTGACGTTCACCAGTAACTCTGATCTGGATTCAGACACTAGTTCAGAATATCCAGAATTTACCAGCGACATATTGACTTTCCCACCATCTCCTGCTCCATAAACCTGAACAGTCCTGACTGATTGGCAATACATTCCACCTCATTCGAAGTCCAATACCTGTAACGTGTTATCATCAGTTCGCTGAGTGCATGTTCTTGGTAGAAATATGTGGGATAACGCCAGAGTTGGGCAGTATATTAATCTTATAGCGTCTTTTTTCCTTCCTTCCTCGATGTAACTTAACAAATTTTATTTCTTATCTTCCTGATTTTTATTAACGAAGTAGAAGTAGTTGTAATGTTACAGAGAGCGTAATAGTATACATATAGTCTCTTTGCAGGTATATCGTCTTCAAAGTATTGTTCACAGTAATAATGGAATAGCTATCTTTTTTTTAACTGTTCAGAATTGCAAGCGAAACTATAAATGGTATAAGATTTTGCTCAATAAGCGATGGAAGCGATGGCTAATACCACGTTCTAGGATCATGGATGTCATGCAGGAACACTGACTGAAACACGATACCCAACTCTGGACAATACGCAGTGTACTTAATACAAGGAACTGTTCCAAGACAGTTTCTTGTCGCATACGCTTAGCATGCTTGCATGTTATTATTATACATACTAATTAAAAAATAATGTCTAGCGGGTAATACGTTTGGATGCATTTACACGTTTATACTGTTTGTACTTGAAGAGAAATCGGAATGAGAATCCTAGAGTACGTTGATCAGATCTCTACACGTGTCGATATAGTCTTCTACATGCATACGTTACGGTGAACGTATTAATCCGGTAAATGTACACGTTTACTCGGTTTTACGCTTTTACTGTAACGCGTACACACGAATCTTTTGTCCACACATCCTTTGCATCTGTTTCATTTAGAGTAGCGTATCATCTCTAACGTCTTTGATCGGCCTATGTCTCGAATGTAATTCCAAAACACGATGATGTTTTGCACCGTCGAAAACCAGGGGTGTGCTCCATTTCGATCCCACTTGTTCGCGGTTCACCTTTCAGTTACGGAACATCCAAAGCTTGTGTATACGCTCAACGAGAATGTTTCTTTCACATGTCGAACCATAGTCTCTATCTTCTGTCTCCTCATTTATTATTTTCATTTTTTAATTTCTGTTCTCTTCTTTCCCAAATCTATCCCCTCCCACGACTTGTTTAGGCTACGTTGTCCGACGAGGCCAAGGAAGTATACAACAGTCTGGTGGAAACACCCAGCATAGAGGCTGCTCCAGATACGAATCCATTACGTATGCTGCGCTCCGGCGTCCCTATCGTGAGGCCAAGAATCCGTGGAAACAAGCACGCCACCTTAGGCCATATGGTGTCCCATCAGGAAGATCTGTCCAGCGAGACGTTCCATTTCGACGCTTACAACAGTGGCTCGAAGACGTTGCCCAAAATCAGGGCACCTCCGCCGCCTCACGCGCCACCTCCTCTTCCCCAGTCGCGGCACCTGGAAAGGCACCATTCTGCCCAGGAAATCGAGAACAATCAAAATCAGAGTAACGTGGATGAGAACCCTATACCCCTGCCTCCGAGGGACAGATCTAAAACGTTGCAGCCCAAGTCGAGCTTGCCTAGGCATCAAAGGAAGCATCCTCTAATCATACCCGGTGGCGGAGTCACGCGGACACTTGCTAAAATGGCGGTGACCACACCGCCCATAGAAGATCAGGTAGATGGTAGTCTGCAAAGCACCAGTTCATCAGCAGCCAGCAGTGCATTACAGGAGGACTATTCATCGGAGGCTTCAGTTAATAGGTAAAGTCTCGCGAGGTTTTCTTTAGGTCCTCTTAAACTTTTTCTAAACTCATTGTTATTCCGTTTCCAGTCCAGAGGAGTTTGAACAGCGCATAGACTCTGAACTGGCAGCATTGGACACTCTACCTGCCGACGAGAATAAGCTGCATCGTTTCAGCGTCATCTCTGAAGATCTGCTCGAGTTCTCAGATAACTTGATCGACTGCGACTCCTCGGAGTACCGACAGAATACCCAAGAGAGCAGGAGCGACGTACAATCTACCGATTCGTCGGCTCGTTTACAGAGGAAGATCAGCGTCGAGTCCAAGTGTTCCCTCAGGAGTTCGGCCTCAAAATGTATTCAAGAGAACGAGGTAGGAGAGGCGAGTAGAAACTCTACTCCCACAGGGTCTAATAGATCCGAGGATTCGGTGGTATCCAGTAAGGCTGACCCTCTCTGCGGAAAGCTTCAAACGTCCAGCACGAGGACACCATTGGTTCAGAGGTCTTCGAATTACGTAATGCAATACGATTACGACGAGTATTCGGAGAGCAGCTCACAGAATAGATTGAATAAACATCAAGCAGAAATCGCACAGTCGAAAGAGTCTTCCAGCATCGATTCCAACGATGGCTTCCATTCTGCAAGTTTGTCCAACACCTACAACAGGTTGTCGAATGAGAAACTGCCGGGTCACGCGAGTGATTTGTCGCGACAGTCGGACCACGTGTCATGCGAGGATCTGTTAGAGTTCGCCTGCGACGGACCAAACGCCAGGAGAACCCGTGGTCCCCGCAATGGCGAACAGTCGGACGAGGTCAGGATCATGATGAAGGTGTTGCACGAACACTCGACTCCCGAATCGTGCATAGCTGCGTTGAACGTCACCGATTGGGACGTGTTGGCGGCTATCAAACTGGAGCGCCTTCAAGGACTGCTGAAGAAGGAGAACAATTTCGTCGGTCTAGAAGATTGCAAAGTTATGCTGAACCAGTGTGGAGGTGACGTGGTAAAAGCGGCCGCATTGTTACGAAGTACCGACGATACGGCTGCGGTTTAATTGCTTTGGAACTGGCTGGCCCAGCCAGACGACGATAACGATATCAAGCATCGTATGGAGAAGTTAGGACATGGAAGCCATTTTGAGCGGGATACTCTTGTTCTTCTTGGGAGGAAGAAAGAGGGGTTAAGTAGTATTTTCGAAAACAAAATGCTTTTTCATTTTTGCTTTTGCGTTTAAGGAAACGAAGTAGATAAATTGATACAACGTTTATTTATTATTTTAGGATTAACTAAAGCGAGGATAGTATTCGGATGTATTCTTTCTTTGTTGCCTAAGGCCAGATAGGCGCACCGATTTAGTACGCCAATAGAGCTTCTCCTGCAAAGAAATGGTATATGATGATCCACCAGAAGCGAAATACTTAATTGAAATACTTTTAGAACAAGAATAATCAAGACTTTTTTTTAAGTAAGATCTTGGATGTCTTTTTATTAGATTTAAGCAGCTAATTATTTTAGCTTAACACTAAGCAATAATATCTTTTTATTATTTTCGGAGCATACCATTTGATTTGAATATCTTTCAGTAGCACTTTCATGACAAAGATTAAATATTCTCTTTTTGGTGGATCAATTTATATAGAGTAATAGCTTTTTTTTATTTAATTTAACTTTTAGCAAGAAATTGTGTTTCTTCCTTATCTAATGCAAACGTAATGTGATAATTTGCACAATAAATTGCTGATCAGATTTTGTGATGTAATAACCGTGTGGAATAGAAAAATAGCCGAATGTAAGCATACAGAGTGTGTCAAAAAACTTGCGTGTGCCAGAATAAATTGCGAAGTTCTTTACCATTTTGCAGTTTTTTTGGGGCGTATAATTTTTGGGACACTCTATATATGTTTTATCAAGTGTGTTACTTCCATAAGTGCATTTATTGAAGTAACACTTTGGTCGTGACATATATAATAGTGTTTGCACTTTTTAGCAAAACGAGTGTTGAGAGGAAGTGTTACGTAGATCTATTAATTAAGCAGTGAATCCTTGTGTCGCGTGTTACAGTGATCAAAGCAATATGATCTTGTGTCTCCTTTGTTTAAAATATTTTAAAACAATAATAGGCGATTGTGCCTAAGGCCTGAATGATCCTTAAATTGAGCTCTCTTTAAGTTTCTCTTAAAGTACATGTATTTCGTAAAAGACAATCATTGCTCAGTACTCAACACTGTTCCGCGAACATAAGATTATCGTTGAAAGCAATTGAAAACCGTTCATACCTGAATATTTCTCCTTTTTAAAGCGAAGAAGAAAAGAACACAAAAAAAGTCTTTACCGATAGAAACAAGTTTCGATTCCAAAGATAATATTCACACGGTATTATTGTTTGGTATCATATACGCACCGTAGTTTAGCGTTTGACCGTAATTCATCACGCCAAGTTTCGATAACTTGTTACAATACAGAGAGACACACTCCTCTTATACTGGTGGATCGGTTGATTCTCAAGACTTTTCCTGTATTAAGTGCGAATTTAATCTCATAAGGAAATAGTATTTAGATGTGTACGAATAATCATAGTTAATGGTTAGCACAAATAAGAGAGCGAGAGAGAGAGAAAGAAAGAGTGTGTTTGTTGCGATAATTGTATTACGGTCCAAGATCAAAGAAGGATGATCCTGGATAAAAGTATTGGCAATGCGGAACATTTTGTAGAATGTAGCCAAGTATTTGACCCGGTAGTAGGGTACGATAACCACCAAATATTATGTATGAAATCTCTGTGTTCAGTAGATTGATTTTTATATTTTGTTAGAGAGCTTTTGCGTTAATCTTGTTAAGTCGTAAGTAATCTGGGTCGATTCGAATCGATCAGGGGTTGAAATATTGTTAAAGAGTGTGCGTAAAAGCGTAAATCGAATCGAACTTCATTTATAACTTTTGTCAGAAATGGAACACACTGTTCAGTTGGTGTCTCAGGTAAAAGAAATTTCTCTTTCTTTTCACGTACAGTATCTTGGATATCATGCAAATTAACATTACACATTTTGTACAATATTTGCCATCGTATATAACATTAGTTTCACAACGGATCGCATGAGTTCTGAGATACTTGGTGTATCGAAAATGTTCAGCAGCCATAAGAGTCGACGAACATATCCAGAATCAGATTCGCTTGGACTTGAGACAACAATCAGAATTGTACCGCTTGATTAAGTGATATTTTTCCATGTATCTTTTGTACGAGAGCTTTTCTACGATACTTCCTTTGAACGATGCTCGAATCCAAGCGAATTGGGGAAACAAATTTGCTCACCGTACTTTCGTATAATTGTCTAGCGTGTTTGTAAACGTTTTATTAAGGAAAACGTAAGAAGTGGTATAATATTAATCGGATAAGAACGATTGGAGATCCTTGCCGACCGTACTTTTGTATCCTTCAACGAAGCCAAATAGGAGCTTACGAAAATCGCCTAAGTAATGTTACTTAGTATCTTTTTGTAATAACGTTGAACAATAAGGTTTTCGGTTCCTGAATAAAAATACGCGTATCGTGTATTTTTTTATGCTGAATAGACTTTTTCTGTCACGTATTGGCTTTAGGGGCACGTATGTAGGTGTTGCTTTCACTACGTTGTTAACATTGTACCAGGAAGATTGAAAAGGTACCAGGGCATTAAGAGCAACGATATCCTGTGGAGTCAAAGTAGACCATCCGTAGAGAATTACGGACTTCAAACTTCAGGAATAATGTTTACGTGAAATAAGTTAAATCGCGTAGCGTTTCAAGCTGCAACTAGTTTTTAAGTACGACCACAATTGAGGAAGCAATTCTCTGCCTATTTTCACCGATATAATAGTATTTCCATTATGTAAGTTATGTAACATAATATAACAAGCTTGAATCTTGAAAGTCCTAAGTTTTGCTTCGATAAAATAATTTGCATTGTAGCTTATAAATTTAGTAACGAGCAAGCAGAAGTAATTAACAAATTACTTTATACTTAGGCTAATACGTGAATGGAAAGAGGATTTAGAAATACGGTAGTGTTCAGTATAAAGAGATCAATTATTTTTGCGCAGGAACCACTAAGGAAGTAATTAGAATCAGCTCATTGTAAGAGCATGCACCTCAATCAGTTTTCCTGAGCCAATGTACTTAGTCGATTCTCGAGAAGAGAGATAGAAGGAAATTCGGAGAAGTCCCCGCAGTAAGAGCTTCTGTAGAATTTTTCTATGTACACCGGTAATGTAGGCTTCCTTCGGTTAAGGGTAAGCGTAGGAAAAAGTTTTTCACAACTAAAATTAATTCGAAAGTTTATTATTTGAAAAATCGAGTGGCGAATTCCCTGCCTTACCATTTTCTCTAAGGAAGCTTACCATGCTCGTCCGTGTACGTATCTACTATCGTTTCACGTAAGATCGTTGCGACCGATAAAATCTGTACGCACCGACGAACACGCTTGCGTCTTCGAACGGATCTAACGACCTCGGGGATAATAATCGAAATTAAGCTCGCCAAGTATCGTGAAGGAAGAACAACGCCTCTCTTACGCAGTAGGAGTAAGTTCATCCTATAATCCGTTTTTTTATACGCGATCTTACTACGATAAGGCAACACGTTTGTACGTCTCTACAATTATTAATGCGCGGAAACACGAGGATGTTTTATATCGACTGTATTTACGATAATATATACACATTCATAATTGAAAATTCATGCTTTCATTCAAATTTCACGTCGCACATTATCGACTGAGTGACAATTTTTATTTTTTTTTTTACAAGCGTAAGATTATCTAACGTTTAAAAAGGGAAATCGTCTGGCTAGTGTTACATATAGTTAGAATTTTTCTTTGAATAGTGAGCGGTCGGTCAGGTTGATCTGCATTATCCAGCGAGAGTTTGCATATTCTCAGTACGCTTTAATCATCAATCGGATGAATACGTCGTGAATGTTTCTTCGTGTCAGTTCTGTTTCACCCGTGAAAATGAAGTTTGCTTTCAAAATTTTAATAAGCTTTCTAATTCAAAGACGAAATTGCTTTTAAATCTTGATATAAATCGTACATTATACCATAACATACATTTTCATTGCTACATTGATCGGAAACGATTGTGTTCTTACGAAGTTTGCTTTCTCGTATAAGTACCTTTCAACTTTCGCGGTAAAAAAAATCGATATCGATTAGTGTACGCGACCGTTTGTGTACGATTAGCCGGTGTTCGAGATATTTCGATTTATCGCCGATTTGTGGTGAGGAGCGTTTGATGATCAACGAAACGAAATTTGAAAGATAGAAATGTGATATTTTGCTGTGAATTATGGTGATACGTGGTGAATTGTGATAGAAAAGCCGTGCAGAGTTTGAAGAACCAGCAGAAGATGTAAACAAACATCTAGGTGAAAGTTAACCAGTTGAAATTGACACCGACACATCGTATCGAGGTAAGCCTATAAACCGCCATTTTTTAAGTACGGTATATTTAAACTAGAAATATTATTTCACGCTTTAATTCTCGATTACGATCGTAAGCACAAGAAACGTTAATAGACAAGAGGTTAAGTCGAGCATTTTTCCGATCACCGTCACACTTTTCCCTCGCAAATCGAGTTTAATAAATCAATCGATACCTGCCAATAGAATATACGAAAGTAGCAACAAGTATAAATAACAGTTCGTAGGTTAAACAAATTCGAATTGTTAACGGTGATTTAAAATCGGTACTTTCACGCTTAACGAAGGCTCAAATATTTTAACCTGACAGCTCAATTAACTTTCACACAAGTGGCTCGCAATTTTATGATCGATTATAAACTCGAAAAATACGCCGTATATCGAATAACAAATGGTACAAGTGTCCTGCAAGATTGATTCGTAATTTAACGTAAGTTGAACGAAAGTTTATATCGAATTTATTATTAATTGTACAATAAAGTTATTTTCGAAGCAATCCTTTCCTTTACATTGTTCGATAACATACATGACATGTATTACAGTTGGAATCGAAAATTGGGCCACGAGAGTCGATTTTCATTATTACCGTGACAGCAGTGACGGAAGAAACGTCTAAAGAGATTATCGTTGCATAGCAAGAGAATGTAGCACGTTGCACCACGAGTGGCAAGGTAATAGGAATGTCAGCTCTATATTACAAGCAAGTCCAGCAGAGTATTGTGTTTGGAGGAATGTTTCGTGCAAGCCACGCTTTCTAAGTATTTTTCAATTTATTTCCACGTGTAATCGGTTACGCAACGATGCTTCATCGACGCCCGCGGTTTTTGCATTTCACTTTTACTTTCGTTTCAAAAATCAAGATATCGCTATGAACATCGGACCGACTAAAAATAACTAATTGTTTAAATTTTGTAAACTATTACAAAAGATATTAGAAAATGATTTAGAATCTTCAATAACTTGTACTGATTCTAATCTAACCTAAATTAGTTAATAATAAATCAGAGTTTTGCAATGAAACATGACGTTACGACATTCTGTTTAGGAAATTGAAAATTTAATAAAATACTGCCATAAATTTGACCGTACTCGTTGCATAAACGTAAGGTGTTTTCTACGCTCGCCACCAGAGGGATATCTACGGCATCTACTTTCTCACAAGTGCTAATTCCACCATCCTTTGAAGTCGAATGAAGGGAACATCCTGGAAGTTGATTACAGAACATCTTGAAGAATTCATTGAAAGAACAAGAATTGCAAAGTAGAATTTATGTATAAAAATCTGAATACTAAGAATGTAATTACTGAGGAATTTAAGAGTCAAGAAGTAATGAAACTTTGTATTCAGTCCTTGAGATCTTCGCTAACGTTGAAACTAAGCCTACTTAATATATGGAAATTGAGGCTTGAACTAAGAGCCAGAAGTATCTGTAATATCTCTGAGAGATTTGTGTCTGCCTTTTCCACGCGATCTGCATCCGTGTTTTCCAGACTCTGGACAGTGTTTTTTATTTCACAAACGTCACGTTGCATGGCAACAAGCCTCTCTGGACCGGCCGGTGCATCTTAGCGGTCAGTGCAACATAACTGCACTTACTGCTCGATACAGCCGGCTCTCGCGATGTTACTGTATATTTCTGATGTGCACCATATATCAGAGCCTCTCAAATCGAATTTTTTCAGGGCTACTATACGGACTGGTGCACAGCGACGAGTGCACGTGCTTGTAAATTGTTGAACGATTCAGTGGTGCAGGCATCTGGAACGAGAAGATGAGGAAAACCTTGAAGGATTTGTTTCTTTGATATTAAGGCGCTTTAGGAAGTCTTAGAGAAGAAATCTGAGAAGCTGAGATTATAGATTTAATCACTGAAATGTTTTATTCAAAATTTCAAACGTATTCAGACATTTGCTTAGCAAGATTAGGAAGCGCTGGTTCAATGAAATATGAAACAGGAAGTGAACAGTTCCAACGACCCTATTTTATTAATACACTCGATGAATGCTAAATTCTTGATTACGTTAAATCAGCCGTGAAATATTGACCTGTATTTAATCCGGATCTTCTGCAAGGACGATTAACCACTGCAAATTAGCTTGAACATTCTACATAACCCAAATTCTACGTGCTGCGAGAAGAAAAATCATTCAGGAATTTTACAGATAAAATCTAGTACTGCATATCGCGACCGGTAACTTGTTCTCACAAAATGAATATTACCGAGTTTAAAATAACGTCTGTTGACATTTAAACAATCTCAATAATTTTAACTTCAAACGATTTCCAAAGTACAGAAACTCTGATAAAAAAATTTCAAATATTTTCAGTACAGAAATTGGACATAATTTGACACGTTCCAGACAGCTCAAAACGTGTTCAGCGTATAGCTATGTGCCGGGGAGATGCAACAGATTGGACCTGACTTAACAGGACTTGGGAGCACGCTTGGCTCGCGCATAAGCGGTCGTGTTTCCGGGCTAGGTAGCCACCAACCGGTCTATCCGATGAGCTGGTACCTTCTATTCGCATCAGAAACTGTCTACCTTGCCGATACACGCAGACTGGGCAGGTGATTAAAGTGCGGCAAAGTGCGCTTCGTCGCTTGAATTAAACGCTGCAAGGAATTGTAAATACTTGTCCTTGGAGAGGAAACACGTTGAAGATAAAACGTACAGGGGAATCACAAGTTTCTATCAATGGTTCTTTACATCTTATTCTACGTTTTCACGATATCTTTTATGAAATTTGTAAAGTCTGATGTTTCAAGAAAATTAAGGTTGTGGATCTTAATTAGACGAGTGGAAACTGAATTTGATTAATGCTGAAACGAAAGCTTTTTTATGGCAGGAGTTCGAAAGTAAAAGGCGTATATTGAGAGCTAAGATCGTTCTGTAAGTTTCATCGCCAAGGTTCAGTGATCAAACTTCGAAACCTTGAGAAAGAAAATTGCAACTGTGAACGTTGATTACGTCGTTAAGATAGAATTGAATGTTATCACTGACGAAGAAGAAGGAAAGAAAAGAGGAATATCCATGCATGTACACGAGTTGTTCAATTGCGAGGAAGTGAAGTGCATACTGCGTGAATTCTGCTGGCAA